TTGCCCAACTTGTCACTACCCGTTTCACGGGTTAAATGAGATCACTCTAAACATTTCAACCAAAGAACTAGTTTGACTTTGAGAAAACAAATTTTTACATTGCAAGAAAATACTAACAGACAACCATTGCAAATGTCCAACCTTATCATGATACAGGTGTGAATAATACTGCAAATTTTTAAATATGTAATATGAACCTGGCGAGGAGAGACGGCTGTATTCGCAGGCTGATCAAACCAAGATCATGTATTTTTCTGGCGATCCAGAACCTCCTGTAAGCGACCACACCCAAAATACCAAGATTTAGTGGTCGCTTACAGGAGGTGGTCGCTTACGAAAATCGAGCCAAATGGGGTCTCTTCCGAGAAGAGGTCCACACACATTTACTTTTAGGAGCAGAATTTGTTGCATGCAATTTCTGAGTTACTTAACTGCTCTGGAGCCGGGCTATCGGCTCCTGCCGAGGTTTAGATCCATGTTGTCACAAAAAGTGTTTCGTATGCTGTGAGTAGTGTAGTACACACAGCAAAGTAAGAGTCAGACCAATAGATGTGTATAGCGGTGGTCTTTTGGATCTGTGTTCGCTTATGGGAGGTAGTCGCTTACGAGATGTGGTCGCACATTGGGGTGCGACTGTATTAAGAATGGAATGAAGATGATGTGAACTGCGAAGATTTCAAATTTAAACGAAGATATGATCATCGCAGTGGTAATTATAACCGAAAAAAAAAATTTTCGGGACTTCAACGGGATTCAAACCCATGGCCTATGCGTTAGCGCTGCATTGCTACACCAACTGAGCTACAAAGACCCAGACATTGGGAACAGGCCAAATTGCTGATTTCTTCTTAATCCGTGAAGGGAAGCAACGTTCACAAAATCCTTACTGAGACTGATATAATACATTGTGTTTATCAAGAAATCATCTACCACGATGGGATATACCCTTTCCAGATTATACGATTAGAATAAGAATTAGAAAAAATAATAAATAACTAAATAATAATCAAACTTAAATATATTTTCGTGGTAACATACATGGTAACATAGACTCTTTGGTAGGAGCTGAGTGTCACTGTAAAATGTAAACCTTCCAGTGCCCGTCTTTGCAAACACAGATAATTTCATGGCCTTTTCTCCACAATAGCTTCCTCTTCCCTCTCTAAGACTCTTCTTTAATGGCCGTGCTTTTCTTTCGCTGGCTTGGATAATCTTTGCAAACTCGTCTCTAGGAGTTTTCCCTCCCCTTCCATCTTCCTTTCTGCCTCAACGACAACACGGCCCGGATAATATTAATGTTAATGTAGATCCACACCACAATCCTCTACTTAAAAATCAGGTTTGCAAGAGATATTATTATCCCTTTTGTTTACAAAGGTAATTCAACAAAAAAGTAATATTATTTGTGGAACTATATACAGACAGCACAATTCAACCGATCGTTTTCTTGATTACAGCATCTTCACCGATTCAGTGCCACTGGCAAACCAGTCTGTATTTGACTGATGTCAACATAAACATCCTGCGAACACAGTCTTGAAACTATATTCAACAATCCTCTTTTGCCGACAATTGATAAGCCATCTGCAACTCGAGTTTTCAACAATTCAGCAACGCTTATTGACAATTTCATTTTCTCGTCGTAACTTATCGTAAACTTTTGGACAGTCAGAGACGTCCTTCATCGGGATCCGTCTATTATTATAGATAGTATTATCCAGTTGAAACTCCCGTGAGCGACCACCCAAAGTGCGATGATTTTATAGGGGTTGCCTGAAGTAGGGTATGCGCGGGTTGTGACCGTTATGAGCCTGCAGTATACTGTAAGTACCTGGTCAGTGGCCAATTGAGCCTGCAGTCAGCGGTTGGGTCGCGAGAAGTCTGGACCCTAGTCACACGCGTGTGATCGCGCGGTTCGTGTTATAGTGTGAGTTAGGGTTTTTCTTCGAGCTATAGACGGGTAAGGGTTCGTATACTAATCGGAACAAAAGAATTGTACGGAAACATATTTTCGGAAACTCATTTAATGGTAGTGAGGGTAGAACGGGTTAATACTTATACAAATCGTCCATAGCAGACATGTGGAACAAACATGTGCAGTCACCCATTTCAACAACGACTAAGTCAAAGGTCAGAATTAATTCAACTTAGGAAAATTATTGTGTGAAATTTTCGGTAGTATCCCGGCTGTTATAGTCCTTACATTCACTGTCAACCCCTTTTGTAACCCCACACTTTGCACGAAAAATGCCGAAACCAAAATTCGAACCTACAATAGGCATGATAGGTTACAGCAGCCACAACACAGTGTCCTAACCACTAGACCATCAGGGCGATACAACATCTTGGGTTAAAAAACGTATATTCTCCAACAAAGCTTCACAGTAGCGCAATGAATTCACTCTAGTTACAAGCAAGCAAAAATCATTCGGGTAAAACATGCCAATCAGTGTTTCCTAGAATGAAAACAATGGGCATGCAAAGATAGAGTTTCTCCAAACAATGCAAATACAAAAATGTCTTTAGCCCCTTTTACAAGCAGAAAAAAGCATTGAAATATCGATTCGCTTAGCCTTTTTTAAAGTCTCCTATTACCTTTTCGGAAGAGTGCGGAAGTAAATCACGGCTTTTCATCATAGAAATGAATAAAAACTAATTTTGAAATTAAAAGCCAATTAATATTTAAATCTTTTGAAAAAGGTACTGAAAAAAGTGCAATGATTGCTTGAGAGCCTTCTTTATTCAATGGATGTACACACTCACACACTCTAGCCACAGCAGAGATTTGCAATCACGTTTTGGACGGGAGAAACTCAACAAAGGTAAATTAAACTTCAACACAAGGTGAAGAAAAACCACAAAAGGTCTGACTCGTCGTAGCATCTTTTGAAGGAGACGATGAAAAAGCACAGTACGCCAGCTGCAAACAAATCTTCAGTTAATGGCTGCCTTCGCTTAACATGCTTAGTTAAAAGTTACCAAGTTAATAATTGATCGTGTTTATCGTCATAACAATGAAATTTCCCTGGGGAGTCTCCCTTAAATTTGCCTTATAGGTATTGATCTGATATAAAATCTAGAGTAAAGATTTGGCAAACCGAACAACACACCCCACTAACAATTCTCAGAAATACACCCCCGGATTGCTCGATTAATCATTGATGGAGGCCGTTTACTGAGCAAGCAAATATGCAAAAATCGCGGGTGGGTACTTGCTTACAGTTGCCTTATATAGATATTGATCTGAAATAGAGTACACAATCAGGATTAAGGAAATGAGTCGACACATCCCCACCACGAATTGCTAGGGATACACCCCTCTGAGAGAAAGTCGAAAGGTATTTATAAACTGGGCCAGCCTACGGCCAGCCCACTTAATAAATTTTTTGTTATGCTTGTCTTAATAAAAGACACAGCGGTGTTTATGTATAAGGCTGCTATACACACTAGACCACTGAGGAATTGCTGCCAGAGTTGGTAGAAATTTAAATATAGATAGTGACAATCCTAACAATAAATGAAAGCTAACCAAATTGGAGACGGTGCTTAACCCTAATCACTATTCTCAACAACACCGAGTGGCCTGTTATTGTCATTTTACTCGATTTCAAAGTCACCATATCCAAGGATGGCAACAGCTCTTTTGAATTCTACAAAAAGCCAGCCAAGAAACCATCATTTGTCCACCACCAATCAGCTATTCCCTCCAAATCCAAACTCAACTTCATTCTCAACGAACTAAAACGCGTCGAGGACAGATGCTCCTCTCATATATCTTCAACACAACACCTTAACACATTCGATGACATCCTTTGCCTTAAAGGTTACCCAGAGAACAGTATAGAGCAGAAAAAACGCCCACAAAACCCCCAACCTATCAACACAGAATTGTCATACTTTAAGATCCCGTACATTTCCGAACGACTCAATTACAGGATCACTAACATTTTTAGAAAAGAAAACATCCCGGTACGCATTGGCCACAAATCCTACACGCTCAGACAAGCCCTATCCCACATCTCCACGGAGCGCAAATGCACCTAGAGACGAATACCCTATACCTAACAGGCTCTAACACCGGATTGCGTTTACGAAGAAGTGCAATGTACCAGCTCACGTGTAACAGCTGCGATCAGCAATACATTAGTAGCACGACAGGCTTCATCCACGACCGCGTAAAAGAACATCTCAATAATGAAAACTCCTCTCTGAAAAAAAATATCTATTCCTGCCAGAACAAAGACCATCGGGCATTGAGGTCAAGATTATTATGAGCGAAAACAACTCCGCTAATCTACGCCTTCATGAAGCATTTTACATTAGAGAGTGCAAGCCTACACTCAATTCCCTGGAGGAATGTAGTGAATTCACAGACCTTCTATGTTAGTATTTTAGAGACCATTCTTAAGCGCTTTTAGAGGTCCTTTGTCTAGAGACATTCCATAATTAAAGCGTTGTATTCCATTCCCAGTTTATTTCTATAGCTTTCATACATACGTCACATCTTATACACATTTCACCCTACACCTTCTTTGCATATATATAGCGCGCGCGGAATATTTACTCATCTCTGATGAATACAAATGCGCCCTGGTCATCGGCAGCAAAGTCTATGTTGCCTGGAAACAAAAAATGCTCCATGACATAACGCTACATGACGTCAATGGCGGACACCAAGCATATATTCATAGTTAAAGAAAGATAGAAAGATGGGGCATCCAATTTTGCAGCTGGCTAAGACCACACGTGGTACACGCGCGACGAGATTCTAAACTGGCTTCGCGAAAATTAGTTATATAATAATAACGGGAAGGTCGTGTGAACGGGTTGATCATAAGGCAGGGTTGCACTTTACTTTACTCAGAATTAAGCACGAGTGCTGGCAAAAACTCAAAAGCTGGAAAAGCGCTGGTGAAGAAGCTGCAAGCTGCCAAACAATGGAATTTTTAGCAGAAGCAGAAACAGAGGGCGCTATTTCAGCCTTACTGCTTCATTACCTTCTATTCAAACAAAGTTCCTGTGTAACAAAGTGCCGCAGTGAAGGCCGAGATCATGGCAACCAATGATTGTAGCTTGTTAATGTTGCCTCCTGCAGATGGACCGGTAGGTGTCGTAGGTGTAGTCGGAGGTGTCATAGGTGTCGTAGGCGTCGAAAGTGTCGTAGATGTCGTAGGTGTCGTATGGCAAGCATCTAAGGCCTCGAGGTCGTTCAGATACTCGTAACCAAGCCATTTCTGGTAGGTGTCTTTTTCCCCAACATCAACCAGCTTCTTTGCTGAATCTTTGAATAAGAGATCTCTGCCGTTCATGTACTTGAATGACTCAAATAACTGGAACATACTGGAATTGGTTTGATTGATTCCGTAGGTGTCAGAAGCTTTTAGCAATAGATTTCTATAGTTGGCGTTGTTAGTGTTTCCTTTTTTCACCATCACGGCATGAGATGGAACTTGCGCGAGGTAACAGTTGTCGTTCCAGTTGGCTGGAAAAGAATGTCACCACTTTTAATTTCAATATATTACATCCCTTCTGGGTTCCCAGAGGCATCTAACAATAGATTTTTGTAGTTAGCGTTGTTACGGTTTCCGAATTTTATCATGACGACATGGGACGAAACTTGAGCTAGACAACATTTGTTGTACGTATGTGAAAAACAAACCATCCTTTTCTGTATTAACATTCATATAATTAAATGGTCTGTAAGGCCCAGTAGTAATTGGCCGATTGCCTTTTGTAAAAGAATGGGAGCCACGATCATTCTAAATAACTACTCATTAGAGTGATTTTACTTGACCCGTGAAATAGATACTAACAAATAGCCACAAGAAACCAAAGGAAGACAATGGAATTAGCGCATAGTGTAATATTCTACTACATATTTCACGGGTTAAGTTAAAATTACCTTGATTTCATTTGCTGCCATACTTGCTCCTATGAAAACTAACGCCACAGACATATCATATAAATAATAATATATATTAGATTTAGCCAGGGCTAAAAGCGAGGCCTCCGTTTAGATATAAGTATAAACTAATAAACTCTAAGCCACTAAAAATAAAAAGAAATACTTAACTTTAGGCGCCTTCGGCATCAGTTTACCTTTTGAGGGGTGATTACGAAAAAATAAGGACTGATTAAGCAACGAACGCCGCCAGCAAAGGTAACGAGAACTGTGGAATAGCAACAGATTTGATTTTCTTTGCTGTCACTTCACGACTACGACGCGAAAATGCCTTATTTCACATTTTGTGAAGGACGTGAACGCAAGACAACGACGTTCTTTTTTTTTTCCTGAACTTCGATACGGTCTTAGAAATTAACTCCAGAAAATTCTGCCAATATTTCAACAAGAAGGAATGAGTGCGATAAAGTTTGAAGCGTATTTACTTTTTAAGTGACGTTTTCGTTGCCATCGCCGTCGTTGTTGAGTAAGCTCCTGTAAACAAACCTGACATAAAAAAACTCTCCCAGCAAGCTAAACGTCGCATACTTACAGCAAAAAAATTACTATGCATAGTTCGATCGCAGCAGTAGAAAAAATGTTTTCTAACTAAAGCTTTTCATTTCTAAAGCCCTCTGAAATAATAGGACAGAAAAACTCTCTTGGGGAGGAGGGAAGAGATTCATGTCAAGTTAGTCCCTCCCTGCCAGTCTGTTCGGACGGGCGTCGGGCGGGCGTACGCTAACGTCATAACCAAATTTTTTTGGCATCGATAGGTTTCCAATTGCTATAGCAATCGAGACTCCGTTAAATTTTACGGTTGCCCTTACAATCATTTTCATAAAAAGTTAATTGTTCATTTCCGTAACACTCATTATGACTTTTTTGTAAGTACAGTATGGACTGTTGAAGTTCACTTAACCAGGAGCCCATGAAAATTTAACCCGTTGATTCAAGTAATAGACCACACTTTCTATGGGTTTACCTGCGTGATATCCCACGCGGGATGTTTGGAGAACACGAGAAATGCTTGTAAATCACGAGCCGAAGGCGAGTGATTTACAAGCTTTTCGAGTGTTCTCTCAACACTCCAAGTGAGTTATCAAGCCGGTAAACCCATAGAAAGTGTGGTCTATTACTTTTATAAAATAACTTTAAGTAAAACGGAGTTTTCTATGAGTTTACCGGCACAATATAAAGGGTGTCCCAAAAGTTCGTTCCTCTACTTTATAAGACTGTAATGTAGTACGATTGGAACTGGTAAGCAAATCGCTTAAACAAAAGTTGTGTCTTTCAATACAATTTAATATTTTATACTTGTTGTGCCATCTTGTGACTCTAATATTCGATTTGTGTACTTCCGCGCTAAAGGTGCGCGTGCGCGAGTACATTTTCCCGCCACATATTTTTTGTATTTTGTAGCCCGATTTGCTCAAACTCCTTCCTTGTTTTTTGTGAATATCAGATAAGAAAAAACACCTCAAAACGCAAAACTTTTCAGCTGCTTGAGAACATAAGCATGTTTACGTCGATTTACCGGCTTATCAGTAGAAATAACTGATAAAAAAAATGGAAAATATCCGAATTTTCGGTGGTGAAATGGTCATCGAGAAATGAAGGTTTTGAAGACAAAAAAAGAAGGGGAATTCAGATAGTCCTGAATAAAACGGCTAAAATAGTTTTGAACAAGGTTAGATACAAAAGAGACAACTCGACGAGATAGCTCTCACAACAGTTAGCAAGCCATGTCTAAAGCTGTTTCATGAAAAGCGAAGGTTAGAGGCCCCTGAGATGGCAACAAAACCTCGGCTTAGTCTGCAAAACAACGATCAGCTCGTCTCAAATCTGTAAAGAGGTTCAGAAGCGTTATTGTGAATAGGGCCTGGGATGATTATCTTTTTTGGATGAATGCTTAAAGTATATTTTTACAGCTGCCTTAACGCCTAAACTAAAAAATATGTTGTTTGGGGAGGGGGGGTGGGGGCAAAGCGGAGAAGTGGCTGCTGCGTACCAGGTGATAAAAAAGCTTAAAATAGAGTAATCTGTGGCTCTACATGCTGTACCCCACTCCATACTGCAACGGCTACAGAATGTGATAAAAAAACGAACGGGAAATGCCGGTTACTGAAATTCTGAATACATGCACTCGATAGAGCAATAACCACCTTCTAGAAAATTCATTCAAGAATAAAGTTTTGATCAAAACTTGTAACGCATGAAATTAGAGGAACGAACTTTTGGGACACCCTGAACAATAGGTTTTTAACCAATCAGAACGCGCGTACTATCTTGGTTATTTTATAATAATAGCCTAAGAGGTCAAGGCATGATATATCAGTTATTTCCACATCCATAAACATCACGAGAAAATAATCATCGCTATGTGAAAGGCCTAGGTCTGCTCTAGGAAATGAGCCTAGCCACCTCTAGGGTTGTAATAGTTGCCAAACAAGAACGTAAATTGCGATCAGGCTTTTTTTTAAAATAAACCGGTACCCGAGGATGGCATGATCACAAATCTCAGTTCAATGAAATACCTCACGGCGCTATGTCAAAAAGCTTAACCCTACTGAAGTCATCACCAACAAAAATGTTCTCAACATGCCGTATCCTGAGTCGCGTTATCATCCAAGGCAGGTCAAACACGCTAAGGATAAAATTTGAAAACTTTTTAGCTTAAAAGTTTTCAAAAACACTTAATTACTATCCATTTTCTGATTTGTCCTGACAGCTGCAGAACTTGGCTTGCGCGCTTTCCTTTTTACTTGATGTGTCAGTTTTTTTATTGTTTAAGCGGTTTCTTTTACAGCGGATCACTCAATTTGGTACTCAGTTCAACGGATGCTGAATTTAGCAAAATAAAGAACATTAAGTACTTTTATCAGTGGAAAAATTTCACCAATACCTACCCTTAGTGCTTCCATCCTTACACAGATACATAAATTGACTAGCATAAGCTGATGGCACTGTGGTGTGTTTTATAAACGCTACGTCTCCCACTCCGTCCTTCAAGCACTGGAAAGCGCCAGAGTAACCAGAATATTTGCCACTTTTGTTGCATTCGTCTGTGCACAAAGCGCACAAGTCTGAAGGATTTGTGCCTTTGGGATCGTAAGTCGAAGTTTTGACATCTATGATTAAGATAAAATAAGTTAGAACGTTACAGATTGCATAATATGAAGGTTAGTCTGTCAAAGAATCCTTAATTCCTTAAAGAATGGAAGAGCGCCTGAGTAATTACTCGAAGCCAAATAATAGCCAGATCCTTAGAAAACATTTGAATTACTTAATTATGATTGGCCAGAAAATATTACCTGGCTAATCGGAAGCAGAGAATTCAATTAATGCTTCTGGAACTAGTTTAGTACTGACCAGAAAGTCCCAGAGTCATGTTAGAATTTTGATATATCGAACGTGAGCTATTAAGTCGCTAAAGGCACCCACGTTCTTCTTGTAAACTTTGTTGCCTTCAATGAAAACCGCCTTGCTATGATCTATTCATCGCAATTTAACAGCTGCCTTTAGGTCGCCTCTGCGGATACTGTAATACTAAACTTCCAAAACAGTTTGATTGCCAAAGCAAATTAAACCAGGGTAGTCACAGACTTCTGCCGTTTCTTTACGCTTTAAGCCTTGTCTTTTTATCAAGACGCAGCTGGTATACTGGGGTAACACAATAGTTTAATGCACGAGGGTGAGGAGGAATATGCATTGTTTACTTGTTCTTAGTTATAAGCGCCTGTTCATTTTGTACGTGGCGTGGTATGCTAGAAGCTGGGGCGCGAGACGGGAGAAAAAACCAGCACCACTTCACTAACTCAGTTAAAGGGAAGAGAGTCTCCTCGCAGTCTGCTAACAGCACTAACCTCTCTTACCCTGTAATACCCTTTTAAAAGTAATTTTAGAGAAGATAGCAAGTGAAACTCTTACTTGGTACGCAGCTTTTATTGAAAAACTTCCCAGCTGCAATATAAGCATTGCAACTCATGTCTGTCGGCATGATATTATCTGACAGAAGAGTACCGACCGGTACGTTCCACCCGGCTGTTTTTCCCGCTCCAGTGTGGCAAGACTTTTTTCCTTTAAGAGTCTTAAACGTAATGCCTGAGTTCTTCTTTGTAACCGCCACTGCAAAATAACTTGTGGTGGGGGCTCCACTCTCATAATCTTCACCAACAATGGGGACCATATCATGCATCTTTCCTTAAAAGGCAAAGTTGCATAGCAACTGTTAAAAAATCCCAAGAAACAAGCACTGGCGTAAGGAAGAGCAAACGTTTTCTTTTCTTTTGTCAAATGAAAACACAAAAGCTCGCAGAAAGAAATAAATGCCACTTCCAGTACTCATTGCCGCTCTGCCATTGATCAGGTTGGTTTTCAGATCTGCCCAAGATCTGTGCGCGCAGTAGTCACTGTCGTTGCGTCGTCTTTGCTAAATCTGCCAATCACGAACGCATACAAACCTACTTACGCACTTGAGGGCTTAGAAAGACTAAAAGCAACAGCAAAAAGATGCAAGGCTGGTTTTACAGTTGAGAATATTTTTTTTGGCCAATATTCTTTCGAAAGGCACGGTCTTTCGGCTTCTTCATTATCTTTTAAATGACTAGGTGAACTAGCTGAGACGTTCCAGTATAAAATGAAACATGCAAAATGAAAGTATAATAACGGGACGAAAAAAAAAGGAAAAAGTGAACGTTAACAGTATATGAAAACTAAGAACCAAAAACGTTACATAAAAAAGAAATCTGAAATGCAAAAATCGTATACATAAAAAATGCACCTCGTAGGCTAAGCCACGCGAAGGTAAAGCACTTTGCAGGGCAAAGGAAGTATCTTTAATTCTAAGCTATTCTCAGATCTCTCAGTATTGGTCTGACACCGGGAATCGAACCAAAAACAGTTTTGATATTGTCCGTGCTGCTTTTACTGTCCCTGTTACTAAGCTCTTTAATTCTGAGCTACCTTGACTAAAAAAGCCTGCTTACCTGCGGTAAGGATTTCTCCGCCATCAAGAGTAATTAGATCAGCTAGGCCACTCTGAATTTTTGCCATGCAGTCTACAGCGTTACTGCCCTGAACACATGAAAAAGTGACAGCAGGCAAACTGGCCTGAGAAGCCAGTGTGGCTATGACGGTTTTAAAATCATTGCATTTTGATGTCTCCTCAGCTGAAATTGTGCACCATCGCATTTGAAAACCTTCACCAAGGCCTGTAAATATTAAAAAAGAGAAATTGCAGATTACAAAAATGCCCGGCCATACCAACATTAAAAACAAAAATAATAGCAAGACATCCTAATACGAATTTGTCACATTGCGATAAAGACCGACCGATCCCCCTGGTACGCTTATACTTTCTATCGAGAGAAGGTCATTAGACGGTGGCTTAACTTGTTGAATGACGTTGGCGTGCCTAAAGACTTCTGGCCCCGGTTGTTCAAGCGTTGGATAGCGCTATCCACCAGATAAATCACTATCCAGCGGATAAGTATTAGGAAAACCAATTGCGTTATCCACTGGATAGATTTTTATCCGGTGGATAGCGCTATCCAGCGTTTGAACAACCGGGGCCTGGCTGACTGAGAAAATTATATGTAAATCAAAGCTCACTGGTAAACAAGTTCTGTAATGCCAAGTGCTTTAAAAAATGCCCATATCACACCTCTGCTAATAAGAGTTCACTTGACCATGAGGATGTGAACAGTTTTCGTCCCATTTCCAATTTGAATTTCTTCTCTAAAGTGATTGGAAAGATTGTATAGTAGTAGCTCCGTCAGGTTAATGACTACCACGACCATAACGACTTGCATAAGACTTTCCAGTCGGTTTGTAAAAAACATAACAGTTCTGAAACTGCTTTAGATAGAGTACACAATGATATCCTCCGTGCGTTGGACAAGAAGGAAACGGTCATCGTGCTACTATTAGACCTATCCGCGGCTGTTTTCTCACGTTTGAAGACTCGATTTTGTTTTGAAGAGAAAGTCTTAGCCTGATTTAGGTAGCTAAGTATGTTAGAGTTGAAAGCCGCAAATCATCAATGCGTGATCCTCATCATAGCGTTCCCCAGGGACCTGTTCTTGGTCCATTGCTTTTGCTACTATTCACAGGGACGCCCAACGACATTTTCCTCCTAAATACATTGAAAACATTTTTTAGGCTATCCAGAGTACTCTAGAAATGCATTCTAAGCGTCGCTATAAAATTTGTATCTGTTCGGTCATCCTAAGGAAACCAATTATTTGCGAATTAAATTACACCGAAGGGCTTGAGATTATTTTTCCAAAAATGAGGTATTACAAAAAGTGAGACATTTTCTGATTCCTCTCTCCATCAAATTTTTGAATCCGAAAATTTTAGCTTTTTTTTTCTTGCGAAAAAAGCCTAACTTAGGAAGTAAAATGTGAAAATTAAACTTCAGAAAATTGTAGGGAATTTATCAGAGAAGCTTCGAAAATTATACATGAATGGAACGGATATCCAGAAATTCTAAAAAATTCAAAAAAAAAATTATTTTCAGTATTTTTTTAAAAACATTTATTTGGTTACAACACTTCTTATGACAAGACTTACATTTACATGGAGGGAAAATAACGTACTAGAGCAAAGGCAAAATACGATGTTACAGCATTTACAACTAATTAAACCTAAAAATGTTTCACAAATTTGTGTCGTGTTAGGCCCCTTTCAAACGTGGAATTTCTTATGAGGTGCCGAACACCTGTTTTAGTTGATGAAAGTATAAATTAAATAAGGCAGTTGATTCAGACGTGGGATATGATGGTACCGAATTTAACTCCGTTTGTTGTAAATATTCCCACTCTCTAGAATATTTCTTTATCCAATATGGATAAGGGTTTCTATAATTAACGCTTTATATTCGGCTTATGTGAAATGCGACTTCTAAATCAGATGTTGACCCTAAGTCGAATTTTCGACTGTTTCAGTCGCAGATTCGACAAAGTCGTATTTTAAAATTTGAAACTGTCGAATTTAGTTGGCTCAGACGTCCCATCGCAAGGCAGTTACCTCTCGAATTAAATTAGGCACATGTGAAAATCGACGATTGAACTGGGTAATGATAACAGTGTCCAGCATTACTAAAAATACCGGTAGATACGCTATGATACCGCATTTTTGATATTCCTGTAACCTTTGCTTTCAATTTACCACATTATTTTACTAGCTAAATGTAGAACACAGGTAAAAGAGAGTGTAATGACTAAAACTTAATTCAAATGCAGACAGTGATGTAGACATTTCGGTGAGTCATTTATGACTTCTCCCCGCTGGTTTCGTGTTTCGCGGTCGCGGCAGGATATCAAGTTCCGAGAGCACATGGTCTGTTTTTAGTTAAGTTTTGTTCTTCGCTGTGATTGTCAGACAATATTTCGTTGTTATTAGCGGAACAAGGTACGAAAAACTTGTGAGTATCGATCGGTTTTTGACTTAGCCTTGTTATTTGTAATTCGTTCTTTATTTTGCTTTATTGAGCGGATTTTATGCGTTTTCATTTCAGTGAATCGTTGTTCGTGTAATAAAGAAGATTTACAGTCCAGCGTATATCGAGTTTATCTTGTTGCCGCTTTCTTGTAGTGGACGTTGGGTTCCTACAGAGAGAGTAAAAAAGAGATTTAAAAAAAAGAAAAAAACTAAGGTTGCGAAAAATTTCTACAAGGGGATTCGAACCCGGATCGTCAGAATCAGTTAGAACTAAAAGTCAACGCCCCAACCCACTGGCTAACCAATTTTAGCGGTTCTCATACATTCTCTCTAACGGCTACCGCTAAAATTGAAATTTTCGTTTCGCCTCGCCCGCCGGAATGTAATTTTCAAAGCGAAACGATAATAGAGCCTGATCTCAGGTTACCCACTGGCCTACCTCTGTAAACACTGTCACTTACAGTTTAAAATAGGTATATATTCGTTTTCTACTGTGATTGGCAGTTTTCAAGGATGACTTTTTTTTTTTAAATTTCAGTGTAGAATTTAATGTTTAACTGATCGAAGCTAGACGTAAAGCTCACAATAAACCCATTAATACTCTTTCAGGCTTAGTCCATGCCCGGGAACGTTTAAGAAATTTATGAACTATCGATCGCGCAGCTACAGACTGGGCCGTATGACCATACGATACTCTCTCTGCTCGTAAGCAGTCTTTTCATCAGTCGGGGAAAACATTAACACAACATTTTTCATGATTATTTCCATTGTTTTAGGTTAGGTTAGTAAACCATTTGGGTTTTACGGTTAGAAGAGCTGCTACATGACCTCTTTCTCCGGAATTGAAGAAAAGCGATATGGGCGACAAGTATATCCTTTTAGTTTTTAAAGTTCTCCTTTATTAACAAACGTTGAACATTTATTTCGGCAAACAAACAGTTAAGGTGGCTCGACTGGATTTTTTGGGGTTGATACCTCCCTAGTTTGAGCATTAACTACGTCGGCATGAGTAAAGATAAGGAAAAAAGGTTACCACAACTGTATTATATAAAGATGAACATTTCTTATGATCTGGGTTTTATTGCAATCGGAGTCGCCATGGCAACGTAATGACGCCATTACGTTTTTCATTTATCGTTGTGTTTCTCTGTACCAGGAG